CATGTTACAGAACAAGCTCTAAGGGGCTGCACCAAGGTCAGGTATAAAATAAAGCTCATTTTGATCTGAAAATCATGCAAAGCTACTCTAACAGCATCCGAGGATACAAATAAGGAGTGTGACCAGTCACCTTCAGAGATTATGACACACTTTACCCACCATGTCTGAGACCTCACAGGGTTAAACACCAACACACACACAGACCTCGTGTTCCAGCTGGTTACTGGCCTGAATCATCTAAAGTAAAGCCAAAAAGGTGAACATTTCTTTCACACTATAAAGTATCTGTGCGTGTGTGTGTGTGTGTGTGTGTGCGTGCACTTGACCTAAATTGTCAGCAAACCAAACTTTCATCTCAATACAGTGAGCTCAACTGGCAGCAAAATAATATTGTGGACTATAACACTGTGTGCGTGTGCGTGCATTCAGTGTGAGCACAGAGTGAGTGATGCAGGGACAATTACATCATTCAGCGACCTGGGAAATCATTTTAGAGATGCTCCACTTAAGAGCAAGCTCCAGCACACACACACACACACACACACACACACACACACACACACACACACACACACACACACACACACACACAGGTTGGCTAACTTCCACATTACTGCTGACTGTAGCATTAAAGTCCTTCTCAGGTGACAGCTGCCAAACACTGCGCACTCGAGTGTATTTATGACATCGAGTGTGTTTACCCAGATAACACTACCAGGTTATTAATCATGTAAAACATTAAGTAATACTCTGTGCTGTCCTCCTGCTACTACATCTATTTTGCCACCTGCACAATGAAAATAACTTCCTAATGTTGCATTTTCTCCATATAATCAACCACCCAGATGGCTTAGCTCCCATTAACGAGCTCCCTTTGTATGTGGATGTGTTTTAACAGTTTGCACAGGATGTTTTATGTCCTAAAGCTCCATCTTTCTTCTGAAATATTTTTCCGCTGGATCAAACGCCTACTCTGATGGTAAACATGGCTCTTCACCATCTGCTCTGTCTGTCTGCCCATGTGTCTGTATGTCTGACGTTCCAGTCTAAATATCATATAGAAATTAGAAAACTACCCTGTCAGTCTGATAAAACATTTTAAAGTACCCAATAAAGACACATGACCTCAGTCTGTGGTGCTGCCATTGTTGACCTGCAGAGAGATGACCATCAGAAGTTCCATGGGTAGAATATTCTTTAATCAGACTGAAGCTCTCATTACAGCTAGCTTATTATCGCTTATGATTATTCTTTTTCCACTATAGTCATGAAGGATAAAAACAATGCAGCAGAGTGACATTTTGAACAAATGTAATCACATCATAACAGCTGGGAAAGTAGGATCTAGCTGGACCAAATTCCCCAGTCATTCATATTTACAGCAGACTGTAGACTATTGGGTATAAAATATGGACATATCCACCCTCACATTTAGACTAAACAATCAAAATTAGTCACATGTCACCTTTTGGATCTAGAGGTTACCATATTTAGATAAGAGGATTGATCGCTAAATTATCAGCTAGTTAGCTCGATTAGCAAACTGTCTCCATAAAGTGTGTGTGTGTTTTTTAAGTGTTTGGAATTATAATGGGATCGAATGGGCATTGATTGCTTTTAAAACCAGCCCTTAACATAACTACTGTTTTTGGCACTTTCACATTTAATATTTGACTTGTTGGGGAGGGATTTAGAGTCAGGCACACCAAACTTGACTCCATTTTGTCCAGTTATGGTTACTGGTTCTCATCTAAAGGGAACATTGTATAAGAATGCAGCTGGAGGAGGCGTGTGGACAGTGCATTATTTTAATGCAGAGAACTGTGGTTGCATGTTGTTACAGATGTGTATTTATGCTCCTTTTTTCATTTAACCAGACTCCAATCATTAATCAATGTGTCAAACTGCTTGGCGCCCACTTTGTACCGGCGCTAGATTAAAGGCCAGATGATGAAGTTATGACAATTCCTCTTAATGGAGACATAAATGTGCAAATGTCATGGGAATCCATTTAACTGTAGTCGAGATATTTGACCCGAAACAGCAAATGTCAACCTGACATTAAACCCCAGAACCATAAATGTCTGAACCATATTTCATGAAAATCCATCAGGAAGAATCTGAATCTCAGTCTGAAGCAACGTGTTGGACACAAAGGCTGAAACTCTGCAGCACAACTTCAGCTCAGTTTCAGATTCTTTGTTTGCATATTCCTAAAATAATTGGCAGAAGAATAATAAACACAAAGCAAGAAAGGGAAGTAACAGGGGTTAATGGGGGGCTAGCAGTCCATTGTTGTCCCTGAAACCTCAACCACATAATCCATTGATGGCTGCAGACGCATAAGAGCATAAGATTCATTTAAAAGCAGATCATTTTTGAGCCATTCAGATGGTTAATTTACAAAGTAACCCCCGCAGGACATGATTAATATTCCAGAGGGATGTAGGCACTAAAATATTAGCAGCTCATTGTTCTGGACCAGAATTTTTTTTAATTTTATTTTGTCTGAGTCACATCACAGCAGGTGATTTCGAATAAAAAACAACAACAGCAAAAAAAACCAAAAACTATATATGAATGAAATGGAGGTGTTCATTTATATGAAGGCACATTTCTGTGGGACGGCAGCTTTAAAATGAACAAGCAACAAGCAAAGTTTAGCTTCACGTGTTCTTTTTCTTTCCTTTTCTTTTTCCTGCAGATCAGTAGGAACGTGTTCAGCTTTGTGTTGTAAGTGCAAGTAAGTTGATAACTGTCAGTTCTAATTCATATTGTAATGTAATATAATCTACTTCCATTTTTACAGCACTTTTCTACTCTCACTGACTACACAAAGTGCTTGAGACTACATGTGAAATTTCAACTATACAATCATAATTAGAGCCGAACGGAGAATAAAAAAGGGCTGACATCATGAAAAAGAGGTTAGAGTTCGGGTAAAGTTTAGAAAAGAAAAAAACTTTTGTCTCTGTATGTAGGCTCAAACGTCAGGGTTGGATTCAGAACTACTCTTTGGTGTATGTTTTGGCATGATCAAATGTTAATGCATTCAATGATCCACTCACATGAGAGTGAAAGTGAAATGGAAACCTGGTTATGGCCCTGAATCTTTTGGTTTTTTGGTGAATGATTGCAAGCAATTGCGTCAACCAACTGGTTGGTTTAGCTTCCAACACCCTCTACCTCTGAGTAACCACTTTGAACCACAGCTCAATGTGGATTCTTACTGTGAACAGTTAGGGTTGTTAATTTTGTTAATTTTTGTTAATGTTAATTTTTGATATGCATTCCTGTGTATGTAAACAGCAACAGAGTTGCATTAGAAGACAACAAATGTGCAATTTTAATGTGTCATATTCTATGACAAATTGCATGCAATTGGTAACTTGACACCTTTGAATGACACACTGACAGGAGGTGATTCTGACGTGTTGCCTTTTTATCCTCTTGATGCATCAAAGTCAGTTCAAACATTGCAGCTGGTGAGTGCTGCTGACCTGGTCCCTGTTTTCAAAGCAGCTATTTCATAGTCTCGTTTTGCTTCAGCCAGCGACTGTTTTCACTAATGTGACTATTGCATAGAAGAACTGATTTTAAAAGTACCATCTTCTTGTCTTTGAAAGGATCTTTCATTAGCACTTGGCTAAAATGCAACGCAGTCCCAACCCTACCTCTCAGTTTTTCTTTGGCGACTTGGTAGACAGTAAGAAGTTCGTGTACCTATGAAATGAGGTCAGATGAGCTCTCTCTCCTGGCAATTATTGCAGCATTTTGATTCAAAACAGGTTTTTAATTAATACCCGGGCATGGGGAGGAAGATCACATACATGTGATCTCCATATGGGATTAAAAACTAGTGAATAGAGCATGAAATATTAAAAAGTCACCCCTGGAGGGATTAATCCTGCATAAATGTAGATTTATCTGGCACTTTTCTACCTAAGAGAATGAAGCATTTCCAGACTGCTTCCAAAATGTGAGAAAATGCCACAGTGGTGTTGTAGTGAGGAGAGAAAATGGGTGCCATTTGGTTCACTGTAAACAACCGAACTTTAAAAGACAAGGCTAGAACTGAGAAACACAGATAATGGAAAGGGCATGCTGTAAGTCCAGAAATATTTTGCGGCATGTGGTGATTATTATTTAGAAAAAAGCACATGTCAGAGATTAGCGAGGATTCATCTATTGTTTAGATCCAATCACATTTTCAACTGGATGGAGTAGAAACGGTTTCATTTTGTGCTTTTTGGGGGGTTTTTTGGGGTTTTTTACAACTCCTATTATCATCAGCTCCCTGCTGTCCTGTGCAGAGCTCCAGCATCTGTTTCTATTTAATTTGCAGTTTGAAATCTAATTTTGCAGATCTTGTTAAGGACACAGAGGGAACGCAGGAGCCAGCAACACGTGACTGGAGAGAGCTGGAGCCAAAAGGAATGACAGAAAAAGAAAGCATAGAAGCAAATGGATCAATAAAAGACAAGAGAGGTCATTAACGGTACTGGGGAGGTCATCAAACTTAATCTTTACTGATGAAAACGTTTGGGTAACTCTTTGAAAATATTAAAAACACTGAATGTGTTCATTCAAAAAATGATCCTTTGTTCAGATTTAACAGAAGGAAAGTTTGTCTTTTGTCCCCCCAAACAGTGATTGAAACTAATGAACAGATGTTAGCTGCCAACAGATGAATTTTTGTTCCACTTGGTCTCAGACTGATGTCACCAGAAGTCGCATTCCCTGCAGAGTCTCCATCACTGTACATTTGGGACGATGCAAATTTTTTGCTCAGTTAAATTTTTGACATTAGTTTGAGACATCTCTACATGTTGCATCGTTTGAGGCAAACACGTGACTACTGGTGGCTTTTTGAATAATCACCTTCCACCTAAAATGAGTCCTTTACACACCTATTTTATCCATAGATGGCTTCCAGTCTCACATGTAGCACCAAGTTTGGCACAAGTATTAAATGAAACAGTCTGCGAGTGTATTTGTACCTGTTTTTGTTGCTGGAGATCCAGTCAGAGATGTAGGCAACGGCTTGACGGTGGCACTGTTTGTTTCCAAAGCTACAAGCTAACATGATAAGCTCTCTCTGCAACTCCCTGAATAGACATAGAGAAGAAAAAAATGCTCAAAGAAACATCTTATGGACAATAGGTTCTTGTCTGGACACAGAACATCACTCACATGTAGCACAGAGATTATTCCAGAAAATCTTCAGACTGGTTTAGCCTAATACTTAAACTTTTATCATGTCTCAAATTGCATTCTTGCATTTTCTATTTGGAGTGCATACTGTGAGATTCTGGGTGGCAGCGTAATACTTGCTAGCTAGCAGTAGCTGATCTTTTTAAAGGTCACAGCACTCTGTGCTTAATAACTTTGTGGAGGGTGACTGGTGGTTCTTTATGTTAAATTTATGGTCTGAGATTTCCAGGTTTGAGTCATAGAAGGTAGATATTACTTTGTCTGAACTTCATTGTCAGCAAAAAAAATCCCCCTAAAATCAACACGTTTAACCATTAATGATTTGCAGTCTAGCTAACAAACATCAAGCTAAGCTAAACCACGACTTTCACCTCTGTCCAGACTGGACATAGATACGGCTGACTTCTGATTCATTAGTTTGAGTTAAGTAACCTAAGAATCTGACATGAATAATTCTGCTCAACGATGTGACAGGAAAGAGAATAAGCAGGCTGCTAGAATGCTGAACTACGTTTTGTTTTCTGTTTCAATGATGCGACGGTGTTTCTCAGTCAAAGAACAAATGTTGTTAAAGGGGCACTGCCTTCCACTGACTGACTGAGTGTTGTTAGTGCAATACCACCAACAGGAATGTCTGTCTGCTGCATACTCAGTCTGGTAGGATGCTTGCAGGACGTTGCCCTCTGTGCCGGGGCCATTCGTTGGCCAACCCATCTGATGGTACCGCGATGCAACCTGCTTCAGCACGTAGTCCTGTTAGCACACACAATGATAAGAGATGTTTTATTCTGCTAACAAGAAGCAGTTAGTGGTTAATTGATCGATTAAAATTGTGACTGATTGGTTGTTTACACTGAACAGCCTGTATTCGTCTGTGCGGTCCAGCAGTTTGTCCAGCTGGTAGAGCGCTCGGCTGGCAGCGTGCCATGGAAGGAAGGACGTCTCCTCTGGCAGATAGCCAATCAGCTGCAAAGGAACACCCTGTGGAAGGTACCCCGCCCTGAGGAGAGATGATGTGGATAAAAAATGAGTAGTGGGAAAAGTGTTAAGGCAAAAACATCTTGGTAAAGAGGAGACAGTTATTCTTAAAATTCTAAAAACATGAAGCAAATGGAAAATACATTAAAGACTTTAAAGGTACAGTCAGTCAAGTTAATTTAAAATAAAATAAAAATATTAAATGCACAATAACTGAGCCACATATGTAGTATACAAAAGGCAAAGGTGAAGACAAGTCATAGGCATTTGCATACAGTGGAGACAAATTTTAACTTGTGTCTGGACCGTGCTTTATCATCTAAGAAGAGTTCCCTTCATCACAGAAGTGAAAGCACAAAGAAAACAGACAACTCCTGAAATGAAGTCAGGTCTCTAACACATGAAAATGTGCATAAACATGCTTACTTATTCACAACACTGTCACAATTAATTATTGCCAAGAGATTAGACATGGGATCCTCCCGTCTCCAGAAAACTGACAACGAGCTGGCGAAACAACAACAGCAGCTGGTTACAAGTTACATCAGCTAATGTTAGACTTGAGTGTCTTAAAAATAACAGTTTTCTTCTGTCAAACAGTTTGATTAAATTTTCATGTTGTGTGAGTTTATTATGTTTGATCCACTTTGAAGAAAGAAAGAAAGAAACCAGCTAACAGCTCTAACAGCAGCTCTGCTGTATTTTCTGCTGCACTCTACTAATCCAGGTCTATCTATGATTAAGCAAAAAGTAGAGAAAAGCTAGTCTTCATTAGCGACTACGAGGGAGACCATGTTCGCACAACAGTTGAGACCTTTTTAAAGTCTGGTAAGAGTGTTTTGTCATTCTTTGAAGGAATTTTTTATGGTCATTTTTGGGGACTCTAATATCTCAGTGCAACAATCAACACAAATCCTCTCTCTGGTTATTCATATTTTTGAGGTATTTTTTTGTGTCTTTTCCCTTAACAGGGACACATCATGAATATTTCCAGGAACTGAATTAAGACATGAATTATTTGTTGTTTTTTGACACACTTGCCATTCCGTACGGAATCTTTGATTTCAGTATTTCTGTAGATTTTCAGGACACACAGAGGACCCTTGAGCTAATGTAAATATAGATTTAATGAAGATTTGATCTTTAACCCTCATTGTTTAACCCTCAACCTAAAACGCACCACTTTAGGAACACATTAACAAAAACATGGCCTCTAACCTGAGCTATTTAGCAGCCCCGGTTACATCCACTGCCTCATCAATATTAAAGAGCTTCTTTTGTGCATTCATTAACATTCATGATGCTTTTTGGTGAGGGGTGGGCACCTCACCTGTTTCCTGCACTGACCTTCGCTCACGCCCACAGCTCATGAATATTAATGAGGCAGGGTGGTGGAGGACACAAAGTGAACTCAGGAGTAATATTAGGGTTCTTTTTGTTTTTGATTCTGATTATTGATGTTCAGTGAGAGAGCTCAGCCTGACGCCGAACAGTGACCTTTACAGAGGATGTCAATCACAGTGACTGACTCATACACACAAGAGGAGGTGAAGAAAGTGAATGTTCTTGTATTGAAATACTGTTTTTTTTGGTTGCTGGTTTTTAATTTTCAGAGGCAGACAGACAAGATGACAGGGGCAGACTCCACGGAAAGTCAATCTGTTTGAGATAAGACTCGCTAAGTCTCTGAGCTGCCAAAGAAAGTCTGAATTCCAGACCATCATATTTCCATAATCTGCCTCATTTCCAACCCGACCAGCCTCCACACATTCATCTCCATTCCCATCATGCACCTGGCCTCTGGGACATTACCATAATCCATCCAGCCTGCACAGACTTCCTGTTTACCACGCTGCAAAAACACTGACGGGACTCGACATAAAGGCAGAGAGAGATTGCAGTCACCATGGCAACTCCAGCTGGACATTTATCTGTTTTCTTATTTGTTTATTTGTCATTGTTTTTTAAACATCATCCATCAGCTATCAGTCCACATCAGCTCTGAGACTCGTTCGTGTCACACGTCACTGATGCTGCACGTGATCCATCATCAAAGCGACAACTGTCAAAATAATAAAAGGGTCAAAAAATCTACCTCACCAGCTTTTTTATGAAGTTTAATATGAGGTCAGGTATTATTTCCACTGCCAACCACTGTAAAGCTTGCACATCTGGCAGAGAGATTTCATTATTATGTAAATTAATGGATTATTCATAACACAAAGGCCTCCTTACATGCATCAACAAACTTAGCCCCACAAAAGTTTAACTGCACACTCCACTGAAAACTGCACAAAACTAAAAACAAAGAAATCAACTGAAGATAGAACCAAAGAATTACACAAGTAGAACCTTTCCTTTAGTGATTTTTTTTTATATTTAGATGAGCAGAGTGATAATGAAAATCATTACAGACTGTATATATAAGATGGAAGTTGCTACCATGAAATCCCCTGATGGCTCATAGCCTTCTTTGTGAACCCTCAACCTGAGAAATGTGTCACAAAACCACAAAAAGACTTAAAAACTGAAGATAGCTGGATGCCCATTGGTTGAAGACTTACCAACCACATGGTAAGATAGGTCCTGCTTGATTTCCTGTTTGCTTAAATATTACATAAGCACTTTGGACCATAAAACGTATCAGAGAAAAAAATAGTTCATAGACTGAAGACTGAGCTAAAGGGTTGTTTTCTTTAGAAAAACTTCTTTAGAACTGAACATGGGCCTCCTTCTATTGGTCATAAAAATGCAGGTTGAACTCATCACTTATGAGCATGCTTAAATCTGTTTGGTAAATATGAGGTGACAGCTAAAATTTTACTGCAAGATAAGTGAAGAAAGAACAGAGTGAATGTGCAACTGTCAAGGGTGTTAAGGAGGAGTGTGTGAAAAGTAAGTTACTTTTAGAGGACACGACTGGTCGACAATACCAAGATTGTTATAGGATTATTAGATGTTGCTGGTGATGCTGCCTAATGCAGTGGCTTACATCCTCAATAAAACTGCCAGGGTTGAATACAAGGACCTCAGTAAGCAGACTTCAGCTTTGATTACCTAGTTAATCTCTCTTCTGTAAGGACTCTACAGTTTTGATTGTATGACTCTCGTTCATCAGGACAAACAGTCACCTTTCAGCACCTTCTCTTTTCTGTCTATATTGTGTCTGTAATGAACACTGGGATCTCTAGGAAATGCTAGCAGGGCTTTAAATTTTAGTGTAGTTGTGAAATGAAGTGAAGCGATTATAGATTTTCAATTTTTGCTCTCAGTTACAGTCTCCCTCGCTCTCTCTCTGTTGCGCCCAGGGTTGTCGTCTTAACGAGCTCATTAACTCATTAACATCGTTAAGGGCCAGTTAATTGTTTGTCCATTAGCCATTAGCAAGGCTCAGTGGAGAGCTAACGAGGGACTGGTGCACACATATAAGAGAGGCAACATCCATCACTGTTTAAGCGTACACTCACTGAGGCATTTATTACTGCTAAACTAGCCTGATACACACACACACGCGCAGAGACACACACACAAACACACGCGCACACACACACCTTCATACAGTCGTGCTGCCTCCTATTTGTAGTTAGTGCTGGGTGGATTACTCAGGCTTTGGTCAATTGAAGTGTGAGCAGCAGAAGAAGAATCAGCACGACTGAAATTAATTCTGAGATTAAAGAATCAATTCAGTGAGCAGCTCTCAGAAAAAGGCTGAAATAACATCTTCATAAATAAGACGCATTTCTGCTAAATGAGCAGAGCTGGCAGTTTCTTTTTTTGCCTTCAGTGCGATAAAACAGATCTCAGTGGTTTTTTTGTGACTCAGAAGTGATCATTAGATGGCCTGGCAGCTGATTTGTTTGTGACCTGAAGAGTTTATCATGGTTTAATAATTTCTGGCTTTCATTTCGATCAGTACGAGCACTACACTCCCCGAAATAATCAGTTGATGCCACGATAAGGTGGAGAAATAAATCCCCGAGCAAGGAATCAAACTGTAGAAGAGGTACTATAAACTGCACATACCCAGCCTTCTTTTACCTCACCTCACCATCACTGGATATGAAGTACAGGCAGCAGATTCAACACAAGCTGTGCCTTCCATGTTATCAAATTAAAGAGGATGATTCTGAATTTCCCTTAGATGATGTGCAGGAATACGTTTTCTTGGTCTATATGCATGGATTACACATTTCGTTCCAGTAATGTCCCAAATGAATCAGAGGAAGCCCACAAGAAGATACCGTGGATTACACACAGGGATGCACTAGATTGGTTATTATGTTAGTTATGTCACATAAATGTATGAGCTGTATGGATATAAAGTGGAATGTTACAGAACTTTATTTAAATCAGACATTTAATGATAATGAGAAAAGTCTTCAGGCAGTATAAAAGATGTAAGTAATTTCCCTTCTGATTTCCAAAACGTGATGCACATTTCGAATAAATAAATAAATAAAATACAGCTGTGGTCTGAAGAAGGTTGAATGCACTCATCAGGAGAATCAAATATATACATACACCCACTTAAATCCTTTGCTAAGTGCAGCCAAAGCCTGCCATGAACTGGGAACTGCTGGAGCACCAGCGTCACCGTGAGGCTTTCAAAGCTAAGAACACAGGACTAATTGTCCAGCATGGCGGTGGTAGCAAGACAGATTAATGAAGTTGGAGGATTGCCTCTAAATTCTTTAACTTCACCTAAAATGAACAGGTAGATGGACACAGTTTGGTGTTCTAACAGGACAAATACATAACAAAACTGGTTTTGGAATGGATACAGCAGGCTAACATTGCACTTCTGGAATGGCCTTCACAAAGTCCTGACCTCAACCCTACTTTTAACTATGCTTAAAAGTCAGATCTATGCCGATGAACCAAGAAGCTGTCAGGAAGAACGGTCAAATACGCAGCCAGAATTATGCCAGAACCTCCTTGATGGCTAACAAAAACATCTGTTTGAGGTGCCACTTGCTACCATACATTTAACCAAATATTAGTGAGGGTATATCTACTGTATATATCTGAGTATGTATGTTCATATCTGACCCTATGTGGATCAGAAAAAATTGAAAATAAATTCAAACTTTTGCACCCAGTTGTTGTTTTTCAAAGTCATTAAAAATGTATGCTCTGCAATCATTCCACTCTGGAACACCAGTTCAAAGAAGTCATTAAAAATCCAAAATTACCCTGACATTCATGCCCATGATGGATGTAAACTTCTGTCCATACCTGTAAGTGTTCGTTGTGTGATTTGGCTGCATTTTATGAAATACATTTAATGTTTTTTATCCACTCACATGCAGCCCTGAAAATATGATGTATATGATTTAATTGCGTATTATCGGAGTAAAACTAAGGCAGCGAGAATACACGTGTTTTGAGCTAATGATATCTTTCTACATATTCATAAGAAAAAATGTCTTTAGTCCACTTTAAGTTGGAAAAAGTTCCTGTAATGCTCTAGTGTCTTCTAGACGTCTTTACTCCTGAAATAAAGAAGCGAGAAAATCCGTGAAGCAGATGTTGAGCTCAGAAAGCACGTTTGGAAAATGACTAAGCCTCAAAAACGAATGTGTGAGACCTACAGTTAATGTTTCACATATAGCAGAAGGCTTCTTTTAGGATTAATAGCATCTCAGAGAAACTTGTCAAAGTGTTTCCTGTCCTCAAAAAGTTTAACAAATAAATGTTGCATAGAAAAAGACTTTTCGTGGGAGGACTAAAAAAGAACAAAACAAAAAGCTCATCGCGTTAAAAAACAAACTAACTCTTGTCTTCTAATGTTGCGTGGTGGTGCTACTGCAGATCCAGGGTGAAGTAAGAGTACTCTGCTATCAGTGTGCATATTCATGGATCTGTAGTTTCTTTTTCGGTACAGATGGAAACCTCCTGCTGAGCTCCCAACTCAACACACACACACACACACACACACACACACACACACACACACACACTCCTGAGCAGAAGACGACAGCGCAGTCGTCTCTGGATGTTGCTCATTCAACATGACAGAGGACAGATGGCTGAGAGAGGGAAGGGAAGATACAGAAAGAAAAAAAGGAGACTGGGGTAGATTGAGTTATAGGCTTGGTGTCAGAGTATATTTTGGTTACAGTGCTCAAAAAGCTTCAGGCTGAAAACATCACCATGAGAAACGACTCACTCAGCCTCCCCCCGCCTCCGCCCACGCCGTGACTGCTGATCGCTCATTCATCACAGAGTTCCCGTCTGCCTTTGCTTATTTTTCAAATTCTTTGCACACTGTCTGTACGCAACTTCTTTGAATTCAGAAATGTGGACGGACCCAGGTGTGTGCGAGGCAATTCAGCTCATACCTTGACCCATTCACAGCCGTACTGTAGCACCAGGGGACACACCGGCAGCTTTGAGGAGACTTTGCATGAATTCCAAAAAGCAAAAACAGTGCAGTAGTAACATCAAAGAGATACTGGACTAAATGCCAGCTGCTCAGATGGTTCATTTTAGTAATTATAAACAAATGATGGAGCTCAAATCATCCAACTTTTCGCAATCATAAAACAATTCTGGCACCTGAACTTAATTCATTTCAATGAAATGCAGGTGAATTCTGAAATTCTCAGAAAGCTTTATGATCCTGGAGTGCTTGTAGGACCAACTGGATAGGAACTGTGGCCGAATAGTGTAGTGGTAAGACTACAAATCTTTGGAGTACGAGTCACAAGTTTGATTCCCAACCGGTATCCAGTAAGGGTCTTGACTAGACCCCCCCCCCATGCTAAAACCAAGCCTTGGGATGGCGCGGCTATGTGCGCAACCTGTCCACAGCTTGGACAAAGTTTGCCGCTACATATTGTACTCTGTGTGATTGTGTATGCAAAATAAAGTTTGTTTGGAGGAAATGGTTGTGGTTGGTATTTCACTCAATGAAAAACAGATCCTCTCTCTAAGACTAAAAAAAAGGTGTTGTTTTAGCAAAACCAAAGTTTACTGGAAAGCTGTTGGAGACACACACCAAGCATGTTTATATGTGGGAAGTAACTGATGATAAGAATGCAGGGGAGAACATAAAACATCACACATGATACAGGATTGAGGAGAATCTAGTACAAGGCAGTGTTGCTAATCCCAGAGCCGCAGAGCTGCACTTCTCCATGTGCTGGTGGAAGTGTGTGTGTGCTGGTAAACCTCTGTCCTGAACTCTTCTGTATAAAGAGTCATGGGCCTCAACTGAACTCACATTATACAGAATAAACCTCTGTATACACGGCCAACTAAATCGAAGTCTATACCCGGCGGCAAAACAAAACACCTACTCAACTCTGAAACACATCTGTCGATGTTCAAAATTTCCATCTCTTTGACAGAAGACGACAAACTGTCAGTCCTGTGCAAGAAAAGCCCTTCACCTTATAGGAAAAGAAACACAGAAGCAGACACAACAGATCTGCCTGGCTCCATCCTCTGTGTCCACATGCTTTTATGTCTTGAAGCCAGAGTGAAAGATGAGCCAATAAGTAAGAAAGAGAGTGAGAAAAGGGCTAGAACCTCTCCTACTTCTGCCACTGCGGTATATCATAGCAAACTATCATCTCACCTGGCCAGGTTAAAAGCATCATCGATAAGTCCTGCCCTGTTTCCAACGGAGATGATCTGCAAGTGAGCAACAAGCAAAGAGGGATTGAAAAACTGAAAGAGAAAAAACAGACAAACGCAGATGTTACTGAATACAGACAAGTTTTACTTGGGGGTTGGTGTGCAGCTGCTGAATAAGCAGTTTCCAGTTCTGGAGGTCATAGTTCACGCGGAAGTAGCCCGTCTGATTGATGTTGCCTACCAACCATGTGCTGTCATCCATCTGACCAATCCTGTGGGTTTCTGAGACACAACACAACAACAAAACATTAAAACACTTAATCCAAGCATCGAGAAAACAAAGACATCAAAAATATTAAAAACATCAGATAGGCAGATAACGACATGGTGTCCTGTCAGGATCTTCAGAGGACTCCAAGTTCCAGTTCCAGTTCCTCCTATAGTGTAGGGTTTTTTAAAAACATTTTTAGGGCTTAAACGTTTGAAGTGAAATGACAGTAACACTCAATGAACTCATTACATGGTATCAAAATGTTGGTTTCTCACTTTATACACTGTTGTCATTCAAGCAATAATAATAAAGGTAAAATATAGCAATGTTTTATACTGTTCACAATAACACCAGTATAATGTTGGGCAACGATAAGAAAATGAAATATCGCGATAGAATATGGGTAAAACACACATGCGCAGAGCCTTTGTTTTCATACGCACATGGCGGAAAAAGCCTGGCAGCGACTAAGAATGAGAAGGGCAAAAGCGGATCGTTGAATGAAACAGATGAACCAGAACTGGTTTGTAAAAATGCTGCAACTTCAGTGGTGTGGAACTGGTTTAGCTTTCGTCCGTCAGATGCACAACAAAGCACTATTTTTGGTAGCACGTGCTAGCGGGCCGTCGTTATTACTGTGTTTTTTGGAAAATACAGCACACTTAAAATCAATCCTTTCATTTTTCTGAAAATCGACAGCGCCCCTTATAATCCCGTGTGCCTTATGTATGAATTCTGGTTGTGCTTACTGACCTCGAAAAGATTTTATGTGGTGCACGGCGTCAAATGTTTCAGTACGACTTTGCTAAGCTACAAACCCGCACCGCTTGATGGATTGTCGGAGCATTACGGCTATCGTAGGCAGGAGCCTCGTGGAGTGATACGTACTGTGCTTCAACATAATATTACCGTATTGTGTGTGTATAACCTCTTTTTAAGTTTTGTGGATATTATACATGGTTATGCTGAGGATATGTCGGCCAGTTTCCACTGGAAATGCCTTTTGGTTAAACTGTCAGCAAGGAATTTGCATTTGCACTGCAAAATTTTTATATAACTTTAATGTACATAAAAAACAGCTGTTTGTTTAAGTGAAAATACATAGATTTTTTTTTCCACTAATAAAGTTGTGGAGTTGTAAAGTATTTTGTCTAGTGTTAAATATTTCATCAGTTATATCGTTATCGCAAATTTTCAAATGTATATTGTGATCAATATTTTTGGTCATATCGCCCTGCTCTAGTGCCAGAACAAACTGGGTTTTGACATAAATAAAAGTACTGTAAGGATTAAATTGAGTGCAGTGACAAGATAACTTGTAAGAGGGGGGACGCTAATATTTTTGGTACTGACTAATCGTATCAATATTTAACAGTAAAGTTTTGATTTTTTTCATGTATTGAAATAAACTGACTGCACCATTTTAGCCCATTTAGTAAATATGGATCTAAAAGTTGTTTGTTTGTTTTCTTTTTTCCGTGAAGTCAGCAGTTTTGAGTTTCTATGTGTTTTCATAATGTCTTCTTTCATTTTAACTGAAAGAAAATGTACAAAATGTTTAATTTTACTTGACAGTGACAGTGTTTTTATTAGATAGTGCCTCATTTTAATATTTAAATATAAACATTTGGAAAACTTGATATAAGCGATCGACTGCAGATATTTTGAGGTGATATTAATGAAAATATTCATCCATTAACCCATTCATCTTATCATAGGCTGAGAGGCTGTTGTAGGAATGGTAAGACAGTCTGTACCGACAGTCTGTTGCAGTCTGTTACACTTCATTTTATCATTCACAGTCTCATTCAACATTTTATTCCAAAAAACATGCACAATATTTTTTTCCCAGGCTGTTTACAGGATTTTTTGAATTATAAATTAGTAAAAAGAGATTTCTAAAATCATCTGGCCTTAATGTGCCATTAAAAAGATATGATAAGATTTTTGAATCTGGTTTTACCAAGTCCTCCGATTTGTTCTGTTTTGGAAAAGAGTACAAACCAGGAATATTTGTACAGAGGACGCCCCATTTGCACATTTAAACATTTTAGAAAACTTGGAACACACAAACCAAATAGAAAATTGGGTGCAGCAGAAAAAAATATCTTGAAACTACAACCAGCTAAGAATAGCCTGCTCATTCTGCACAACCTTTTAAGGATCGCTGCATCTTACACAACAATGTGAATATTCTCAGAGATGGCAAAATTAGGTTGTAGTGCTTTAGTAGAACAGCTTGCAGGATGTGTATAACAGCCTGAGGAAAACAGGGAAAATAGCAGCTGACTCCAGTCTGGCCCACTTCTTCAACTTATTCCCTCTGATAGGAAACAAACTACCTCTGAGTCGTGAACTTTAAGACTCCTTTCTTCTCATTGCAAATAGGTGAAGATATGCCAGAATCCAAACTCTTCTTCTGAAGTCAGCTCTTTCCAAAGATGAGAACCTGATGTTTTTTTAGGCAAAGACAGATATAGGAAGTATATTCCTCAAAAATAGGCCTGAATTACGTCCATTTTAAAGAGACTGAAGGGGAACAAGCCAGAAAACAGAGTTATCATCTCTGACAACACTCATAAAGTGAGAATAGCATTATTTCAGAGAGGCCCAAAAGTCATGCTCAGCTTTAATCATTAGATAATCTAACCGTCAGCACATATCAGCTGATGGCTCTGTGAAACCTTCGACTAGTCCAATCAGAAACTCTCATACACTGTGATAACCTGTCCGAAGCTGCCGCTTTGCAGCTCACCTCAAGCCGAGCTCCTCTTTTCATGCTTCACGTTGTTTCTGGCTTAATAAACGTCATATCTGCTGTCACCGATGCCTGCTCTGATCTGTGTGTGTGGAGGTGGTGGGGTCTTACAGCTGGTTTCACTGGCACAGAGCTTCAGGCAGAATTACCTTTAAAAAATCTGAATTTTATTCCATAAAGCAGCCAGCAAGACAAAAGAGGAACAAGCTTTATTCTGTAAGGTTTATTTTTCATGTAACACACTTTTCTCCAAAAGCTAATAAAGACAAAGCACTACCTCAACACAGAAAATTTTTGTTGTCTGTAAGAAGTAATTTAATCGTCCTAATATCAAAGAAAATGCAGCTGTACTTTGTAGAGCGCGCTATTCTTTAAAAAAACAAGCTCGTGTGACCTTTATTTCTCTAAAAGCTGAACAACAGTGAGTTTTACACATTGTTAAATAATGAGGGAGTTTTATTTAGAAGAAAAAAACTTTATTTTATGAGAAAAGAAAACATGAAGAATTAGCCATATTTATATGTGGGGGGTTCTGTGTTTACTGCCAGCACTGAAAGACCTCTAACCTTGAAAATGAGATCCCTCAAAACAATCTACTGTATCTGTTCGCTTCGATTTGTTGAGCCCATTAACTACAGATTACATGTCTGGAGATAATGAGATAATTAATTTGTGATCAGGAAATAGATTAGTCTGTTGGCATAACAAAACAATGCCAAGACAGCGGCTCATCATTTCAAGGTAACATTTCAAGATAATTAAGTCATGATTGCAGAGCACACTTTCATGAATGATCTGAGACGTGAGAGCAGCACAGAGAATCATTACACCCACACTACTGTACCTGTCTTGTTGTTGATCCAGATGAGAGACTCTGAACAAACGGCGGATGTGTTTCCCACGGCGACTGTGAGAGGGACCTGCCACTGTAAACTACAGAGAGAGAGTGATGTCAGTAATGGTCAGTGGAATTGGATTGGGTTTTATTGCCTCAGTTATCAGATAGAGAGGCATTACAGAGAGAAGAGAGAGCGATGGTCAGCGATGATCTCTTAGCATCATTCAGCTGGAAATGGAGCGAGTGACGCTCACTGTGTTACAGAGGGACAGGAAGTGAGAGTGTAATAGCTGCAGCAGTCAGCAAGCATCAGTCAAGTGGAAGTAACTGAAGGTTATTGTCTCTTTCTGAGAAACGGAGGTTAAATGTGCTGTCCAGTGAAAACTCTGGTTGGTTAGTCGGGTGATTTTTACATTTTCACTGTCATCTGAACAATACAGAAATGCCCCTTCACTGCTTGAGTGGATTCTGCAACCTATCGAGCTTTTAAAAAACAATTATATTACCACAAAATGGCAGTTCTGCTGGGATTGAACTGGGCTGTTTTTCTTCCTGAACGGTTGACATTTAGGAGTTAAACGGTTTCTGAGAAGCAGCAAGGCAGATGAAATGTGGGAGTAATACACAGCAACACAATTCAGATTCTCTGAAAAAGAAAATCTACCAACAAAACCATCCATCCATAAATCCATCCAGCCATCCATCCATAAATCCATCCATCCATCCATCCATCCATAAATCCATCCATCCATCCATCCATCCATTTAGTTTTTCCTCATGACAACAGGCTAAGCCCTAAACCTTTTTCCTGTTTTTCCCTAGGTATTCAGATGCGTTTCCTGACCACACATCCCAAATCTCTCCAGCAAGTTATGCTCTACGGGGAGCCTGGAAAACGGGAGGTTTCCTGTTCAGATCCCTGGACCATCTCAGGTGGGTTCTTTCATCACAAAGAAGCAGCAGCTCAAATATTACTTTGGGTGTTTTTTAATCTGTTCAATACATTGTTTTAACCTCAATCCATACTGGAATCTATACTGGTTTCACAAAATGACCACAGTTTATCATTTTCCTGTTCACATGGGTAGAAACCCTGGTTACAGCTGAGACCTCAGAATGCTTGGATAGTCAGTAAAAATGTTTTATACTGTCTTTGGTTGCGTATACCAAGTTGGACACACCCCTGTCTTTCTTATCAGAACTGGCTTAATCGTATAGGGTGTTGGAAACATTCCTCTGGGATTTTGGTCCTAACTGCTGGAGATTTGTGGGCTAGACGAGAAAATCCCATTACACAACATCCAAAATGTGTTCTATTGGATTGAGATCTGGTGAGGAGTGAACTCACTGTTATGTAAAATAAAAAAACATTTTGGGATGGTTGAGCTTTGTGGCATGCTTTGTTGGATCCTGCTGGAAACAGCCATTATAAGATGCGTACAATGGGGTTATAAATGGATGATAGGTTTCAGCAATGATACTCAGGTAGCCTATGGTGTTTAAACGATACTTAGTTGGTGCTATGGAATCCAAAGTTTTCTCAGAGAAAGCACAACTAAGAAATAGTAGTAGTAGATAGAAGTAGATAAAAACATTGTATGATAAAATTTCAGTGATCTAAATGGTATGACAGAATCCTGAGGATACACAGCAATTCAATTTCTTTAAACGATTCATTTTGAAGTCTTTTCTACCAAGGTCAGTGCAGATGGAAGAGAGGGTAATGGTTTGTGGATCCTCTACTGTGGTTGTATGTGAGGTACTTTGGAAGCTTTAACAAAGAGCTTTACAGATGAACTAAGTGATATAAAAATGTTATAACTGAAGCCACACCAGCTCGGATGTCCCCCAGATTAACAAGGTCCACATCAGGTGTTGAGGAAGGCTACCGGGACAAGAAGGCATAAGTGGACAAGGGTGAGAACAGTGAATAGGAGAAATAGATTCCCCCTATTCACCATTTCTTGCTGTCATAATGCTGTTATGCAAGTAATCCCAATGGAAAGGTGAAACAACTAGTAGATCACAGTTCCAACTGCTTGCAACTGCTATCACAACTAGAGATTGATTGGATTCAACACAAATGCAACGGCAAGCTAGGATCATGGCTAAGCTGGAAACCTTGTTCCTCAGTGGCCGATTACTATGTATTACGTAACTCTTTTCACATCTTCTGTTAGATCTTCAGAGGCTACTTGAAGGTCTACTAGTGAATGCAGCATTGTTGACAGTCCCGACTGTGACCATTGCTGAAACCAACCATCTGATCTATAGGCAAGGCAAGGCAAGGCAAGGCAAATTTATTTGTATAGCACAATTCAACAACAAGGTGATTCAAAGTGCTTTACAGAGACATTAGAAACAAAAACAAATAAAAAGCATGATTTAAAATTGATTCTATACTGAATTGATTCTATATTGATTCTATATATATAAAAATCTATACCATGAGATGCTTGGCTGCGAGATGAACGGCCACAAGGAGCAGTACCCCTCAATGGGGATAGGGACTTCTCCATGGAGCCCATTTATCAGAGCTGCAGAAAGATGTGATAAAGAAAGGAATGCCTAAGAAGTACAACTAGCTGCCCATACCTGGGACACTGGAAACTGCCAAGCAAAGACTCACAGATTTATACTAGGGAGATTAAAGCCAGGAGCATAAACCAGCTGTTCTCCACTGGACAATCCAAGGTGTACTCTCAGTGGCAGAGGAACTGGACGTCATGATCATCTGGCAACACAATTGAACCAAGTGCTAAAGGATGAAGCGGACTAGGATTGGCTAACTGAAGGCTGGACAGTCCTGATCCTCAAGGATTCCTAGAAGGGGCCAGTCCCATCCAACTGCCAGCCAATAACCTGTCTCAGCACTACATGGAAGTTCCTGTCAGGCATCATAGTGGCTAAGATGAACAGACACATATGTCAGTACATGAGTGGGGCCCAGAAAGGAATTGGCACAAATAACCAGAGGGGTAAAACACCAACTCCTGGTAAATACAGCAGTTGCTAGAGACTGATCAACATGTGCACCACCTGGACTGGTTTCAAGAACGCCAACAACTAAATGCCTCACACATGGATCCATGTGCCAAAGGGTCAGGGCTGTTTCAGCAGCAAAAGGGGACCAACATAATATAAGGTAAGTGGCAATGTTAATGTTATGCCGGATCGATGTATGTCCATGGCCAAAAAGTATAAAGCAAACAAAAAGAATTGCAGAACTATTTATGATGTCACGAGTGCATTATTGTTCGTCTGAGGTGAAGGTTTTTGGCCAAAAACCAAACCCATGCGGATAGTGCTCTGTGAGGAAAGAATTTAGCTGAGTCTTAGAGCTCATTAGGAACAAATAGCTTCTTGATGCTTCCCTATTAGATGTTAAAGTCTAATTTTAATCCTAACAGTTACCATATGTAAGTACTAATAAGAGTCCTAAAAGTGAGTGTTTCTCTTCAGCACTGTTAAGAACCCTGACGTTATAATTAGACTCATTTTTATCAAATTGATTCATATTTTAATTAGACTGGATTTTCATTAGAAATGGCAAACAATCAGCTTTACATAAATACTTTACATCCAGTCAATTCCCCTTTTTAAGCAGTGGGTGTGTGAATACTGTAAAGTAGGGGTCATTGTAACACAATCAGCCTGAAAAAGAACCATTTACTATTCCTATAATAGCCATTTGTCGCTGCAGGCTATAGTGGATCAATACCACTGCCTAGCAAGCAAATACTTTATCTGATATTTATATCAATGTGATTGACAGGAGTGGAGCTAAACCACGCACACATACACACCCACAGAGACGCACACTGGAAGACACACAATCCACAGCCTGGACAGCAGAATGTGTTTATTAATATTGATGCAAGTGTGTGTGTGTCCTCAGAGTTTATGGTTTATTCATCAAAGGCAGAAACCAAGTGAAACACACACATTCATGCTGGAGGTAGAGAGAAACGCAGCATGACTGCAGTGATCTATTCAGAGTGGGAAACTTTAGAAACTCTTCAGACAGCCTTCACCTCTCTGCTCATCTTCCTCCATTAAAGAACATGTTGACCCCATTTAGACTTGTCGTTCCAAGTGTCTCCAAGTCAGATAAAATCCAAACCTTTATGATCAAAAATATACCTACCTGCTCCTCTAAAGCCAGGATCAGAAGCCACAATATCAGCTCGACAGACGTGGGCTGTCAGGAATAAAAATGAGAGACATGCGGCGTCTCGTGGCATAAAACAACCCAAAGCTTCTAGGTCACTTCACAACTTCCAGACACAGAGGGCAATTTGTGTGTGCCACAAAATTAACACAAAACAGCACTTAACACAGACCACACCATAAAATTACCATAAAACTCTGTGACAAGCACCAAATTATTCATGACTACATGACTACTCTGTGTTGGAACACAAGATGCCCTGAGGACAATTTACAAATGGGCACTTATTGTTTCCCTTAGCACCCAGAGCTAGCAGAGCCAGAAACTCTGAGGGGAACCATTAAGAACAAAGTGATCATTCATAATAAGATGATTATTTATAAGTAGAACTTGACTATCACCAATGTTTGATGCTGTGTCAACACAGGAAAGAGTTTATGAAGGAGTATCAAACAGGGCACTTGAGTTTTACCGAGGAAACAACCAGGAGGCATCCTAGTCAGATACCCAAACCCTACCTTCACTGTTTCTGTCTGATGGTGGAGACCAGTATTCCTACCCTGAACCTTCTTCCAAATAACTGAGCAGTTCACCATTTCTCTAAAGGAGGTTCTAAGCAACCTTCTGAGGAAGCTCATTTCGATTGCTTGTATCCTCAATCTATTTTATTCACTACCCACAGCTTGTGGCAGGACTCTAGACTATTCATTTTGTGTTAATATCCAATATACTGTTGACCAAAACACAAAAAGTTTGTGGACGATTGTGGGACCAGTTCACATATCTTATAAATCATGTGACAAACTACTCGAGACTCTAGACTCACTCTACTGTGAGACTACTCTCTGTAGGGTTTTCTTTTTTTGTTCTGGCAACACTTCCAGTCGTGTAAATAACCACCATATATACACACTTATAAGGGAT